ATGCTGTAGGAACCCTGTATTAATATGTAGGAATATATTGCAGCTACAGAAATAGATAAGAAGTAAAAATATAACATGTCCTATCTTCTGAATACAGATCTTCCTAAGTTTTTTTGAGAGCATAAACTGGTGCACACAACCCTCAGAGTATATATATATATTTTTTAAAGGTTATATGATAGATGAGTTGATAAAATAGAAAACAAATGTTCACATGCTCCCTGAATCTGCTCATATGAATACTGGGAAAGTTGCTCTGGGTTGATGAATGGAGCTTTAAACAGGAAAACCTGGTAGAAGTAGCAAAGGATTTTGGACTGTAGTAGAATTGATTTGCAGTCAGATCTGCACTGGAATGGATCCGTCAAAGCCCAAACCATAATGTAAATCTTTGGCAAAGCTTTAAAAGTTTTAGCTTACATAGTTCTGCAACCTATTTTAAGCTGATATGCAAATTGTTGGCAACAATTTTAGTCTCAGTATGCACAGACATCCCATTAAATTAAAGAGATGCAGCTGTAATTGCAGTAAAAGATGTTCACAATTAGACACTGCTCTGTGTTGGTCAAACACATAGCATCCAAACAAAATAAACTAAAGCTTGTGGTTTTAACGAGACAAAACTTTAAAGAAAAAAGTTTTATAAGGTTTTGTATATTTTTGCAAGAGCAGTGAACGGACGGGGATTCTTACAGTGACCTATTTGCCCATTTAGCTGCACTGTTTAAATCACACCAAGCATATTCAGATTTACCTTCCAGCATCCACTCAACGCTCTCGGCACTTAACCGTCCTCTTTTAGGAGCCCAGGTGTCTATACCATGTCATGCAATTAGCAAAGCTTGTAGTGTCACATCTTGTGTCTGGGCTGAGGGTCTTTGCAATAGATCATCACAGTGTCACTATATATCCGTGTATATTGCTGCCATCTTCACCTCTTTTTTTCAGCCCATTTAGGCCACTTCAGTGTCTGCTATTGTCAAGCGACAGTCATCTGCCTACTCAGATTTAAATAGTCAGTCTGTACAGCATTTTAAATAAGAAACACACTCACTTAGTGAGGTGTCTTTGCACCAGCTTTTACCTTATATAGCTGTTTATCTTACTTTTAGTAAAGAGAAACTTGGTAATGTAGCTAGCAGCTTGCTGGCTGTTTAGATTTTGAATTGGCAGGCTTTAATGTGTTTGAACAGAAAATGACAGCATCTGCCAAAGTAAGACATTCACTGTGTGTTAGAAAAACGCTTTTAAAGAACCTGTTTAAAGTGGTGTGATGCCTAAATTACCAAGTGGAGTATTGGTCCACGGCTGTTTAAAAACTGAAAACCACTTGCTCAGAGGAGTTTTGTAAAAAGCTAATGGAGTTTCATCTTTTATGCTTATTACTTCAACACATTTTACCAAAAATATGGATTAGAAACAAAAGACATTTACTTTTTTTTCACGTACTTATCTCAAGGCAAATAAGGCAACTTTATTTATTCATATGTTAGTCAAAAAACATGAAGTTACATAAAGTTAATCCAAAAAAACATACGAGGGCATATAGATTAAAAAAAGATTGTTTACTAAATCAAGTATGATGTGATAAAAAGAGAGTCAAGTTTTGTTGCAGATAACTGAAAGAACTGGATTTTAACTTGATTGTAGGTTTAAGTAGATGTTACAGAAACAACACAGAGATTTGAAAGAATCGTTTATCTTTAAAGAGGGTACAGAGATTTTTGGGGTTGCGCTCAACCCTTTGGTCATTGTCTAGTAGCTTAGCTTATTTGTTCTCTTAGCTGAGAATTCCTGCAATACTAAAGTAGGCAAAGTTTAATAATCTAACATAAAATAATAAAGGCATATGTCATTTTTCAAGTTCAGGTTTTGTTAAGAGGGATGTGACTAGGGCTGAAACAATTAGATTAATCATGATTAATCGATTATTGAAATAATTGCTAACTAATTTAGTAATAAATTAATCATTAACTGGAGTGTAGAGACTCTAAAGTATGCCTTTAGCTGACAGAGCAAACCAATTAGAGGATATATGCCTAAAATATGTGAACATATTGCATTTAAGATTAAAAAAAAAAAATTTCTCTGTTAATATGCTCTATCCAAGTGGTAAGTTTTAGTTTCACCTAGTTAAGTGTTCTGAAAAGTCTTCTTTAAGGTACCTTTGGGTATCCGAGTATTAACTGATTAATCTAGAAAATAGTCGACAGATTAATCGCTTTGCAAAATAATCGTTAGTTGCAGCCCTAGATCTGACTTTGTTTCTAAGGTGGTAAAAAGCATTTTGTACTTTAATACTCTGTAGTTATTGGCATACTTGCAACATTTGAAACAATTTAAGGTTTATTAAAAATGCTTATTTTTATAGCTATACAAGGAGCTTGGTTTTACCTCTGTTTAACTTTATGAATATCCTGAACAGTCACCCGTTGGCTTCAATGAGGGACTGAAGTTTTTTCCAAATGGTAAAGTTGTCAGAAGAAACAAAAAGACGCGTAATGAGCATAACGTCAGGATATACAGATCACTCTGGGAGAAACTTGAAGAACTTAAAAGAAAGAAAAAGTGGAAAAAAAGAAAATAGCTATGGTAAAAGTCTGAGGAAACCTTAAACAGAGGGGGGTAAACGATAAATGGTTAATGTCTGGCAGCAATAATGAGTTAAACATAACAAGGCTAGTAGTGAACCCTGTGAGCAAAATTAATGTTACTTGATTTCAATTTATCTGGAAAAGCTGAAGAAGTTGTACTAAACTATAAAGATAACTGATATCTGGACCTATCTAACAATAAATACATGACATAAGAGGAACGTCAGCCTTTCCTTTCTTTTTAGTGCAGATGCTAAGATGATTTGGACCTCATAATAAACCTCTGAGGAATCAGCCCAGTCCATCAAACTCTGATTTCCTAAGCTAAAGGAGACCATCCAGCGTTTCAGTTATCCAAGTGTGCTTGAGATGCTGCATGTCTTCTCATACTAGTATTCCTCAGCACAGCATGCTGCTTCTGTGAAAGTACTACTCTCCATCTGCTGTTGACTCGCTGCATGTTTGTGCGAGCAGAGCAAGAGATGTCGAGTGTCTATGAATAAATGGCTAAAGATGGGGTCTTTTCTTTTCCCTGTCTCCTCCCAAACCCTCCTCTTGTTTTTTCTCTGCTGTAGTTTGGTGTTTAGTAAAAAGCGTCGCACAGTTGGCCCAGGATTTTAGGAACAACATTCTAATACTTAGGATACTAAAGGATTTTAGAGGAAATAAAGAATACGCCAATTCATCACACATTACTGCAAGCCGTAGGACATCTTTTTCATTGTATTTACTGTAATGTTTGTAGTATGATACTCCCCCCAACTAATCCCATGCTTTTACTCCCGTTTATTGTCAAAACATCTAATGAAAACACTATCACATGGGAGAAAAGGTTTTGTTCTCATAAACTGCATGCTATGCATAGTTTTCTTAGTTAAATGCATCCATTTGTTCCATCAAATGACTCAAAGTTTAAGTATTTGGTTAAAAATTGGATGAATCAACAAGTTTCAATGTTTGCTAACATTGCAGAGTCATCTCCACAAGAGGCCTAAGACATCCACTGATCAGGTTGGTACTTCTCTGCTCTCATCTCAACAACAATTGAATCATAGATGAACATATTGATGACCATCTGACTTTAACTGGCTGTCTTTCAGAACTGCACCCTGACCGAGCTGGATGAGAAGATCAGTGCAGTGAAGGCAGCGCTGCTCAAGAGGGTTTCTGACTTTGGGCCGGGATACGGAACCGATTGTCCTTTCTGATACACATCTACAATAAAACCAGTGCTGCGTTTCACATCAGGATTCTGTGCATATTTGTTATAGAATGAATCAGTAACTTTTAGAACAGACTACTGTTTATCCTGTTTACTCTAAGCTGTTACAGAAATATCTTTTTAGATTTTATTAATTCAGTTCACCTCTGTAGGTTTGTATAGACCCAAATCACAAATAAAACCGAGTCGAATAGCAAAACATTTCATTCATAAATTAAGGTTCTACTCTAAATATTCATTAGCATATATAGTCTAAATTATAAATTAAAATTCAAAAAGCATATTAGCACAACTGATTGAATGAATGATTCCTGCTTTTTTTTTTGTTGTTGTTTGATTTATTTTTTTGTCTTTTTTTTTTATGGCATGTTTTGGACCAAAGACCAATCCTATTTGACAAGTATTTTTCTGTCTAATGCTGTCAGGATGCAGAGGCGGTTGGTCATCAGTAACAGCTTTGTATCATATGCATCAATAAAACTATTATAATGTTTACTTCAAAGCCAAAAAAACATCAGAAAACGACCCAGAAACGGCCATCTACAGGTGGAGGCCTGACATCTGTCCATCTTCTCTAAGTGTTGGATGTCCCTAGAGTCACTATTACTAGTGTTATGATGAGGTGACACCTGAATTTTTCAAATAATTGCACATGCAACCCATCAGGATGTCTCTTCCTTATGTGCCAAGAAGGTTTGCTTTGTCTATCAGGACTATAAAAAGCATTCGTTACAGAGGACAGGAAGTAAACTTTCAGAGAATTTGTTTTTTAATTATTTTTTTTTACCCAGGGCCAATATGTATGTAGAGGATAATCACAGCCCTATGAGATTAACCCCAGCAGTCATTGAAAGATAATTCATGCATCTTTTGGGCCTACTTAAAGGTAAATTTGCGCTTTTTTGAAAAGACACGCCCTCTCCACTTTAAATAAAAATGCACATGCACAACCATGTACCTGCTCCTGAGAGGGAACGCCTATTAAATGCGTGCAAGCCCATTTATCCTCGTGCAGGCTCTGTTTAAAAGTTGCTGTTAGCATCGCTCATACAAGCTTACTTTCCAGAGGAAGAACTGAAATTTTTCCACTATGTCAGACTCGCCACCGGTAAGTGAAAATGGGGATGAGCACGAAGGACGGCCTTACGTGAACATATCACCAGAATGATTGACAATTAGGAGGACCAATTATTTTGATGATCCACATGGAAAAAGAACAACCTCCACTATACCTTTAAACATAATTAGTTTCTTTACTACAATTGTTTCATATTAGCAGGGCTGGACATGAATCATTTGTGTTAAAGTAACTAAATATGATTAAGGAGATGCAAAAGATGCATTAATTATTTTTATCATGGAGATGTGCAAAATGTGCCAACAGAGCAATCTGGACATTACTTTAGAGAACTCAGCTCCTTCTAGTGGGCCCCATGCTTACTGTCCAGAACATGGAGCCTAAATTCAATTCAGTTTATTTATATAGCGCCAATTCACAACACGTCACTCTCAAGGCACTTTCCAGTTCACCAGATCATCCAGTAAGATTGATTCAAAGTTTTCTATCTAAGGAAAACCAGTTGATTACATTGACTTGAATGCAATCCCTCACACTAAGCATGCTTGTAGCGACAGTGGAGAGGAAAAAGTCAGTTTAAACAGGAAGAAACCTCCAGCAGAACCAGGCTCAGTGTGAGCGGCCATCTGCTGAGGCTGACTGGGGTTCAAGGAGACAGAAGCAGAGATACAAAAAGCAGCTCTAAAAGGCGGCCCAGTCCAGGAAACACACAGCCAGGCAGAAGAGCTCCGAGCCAACTCCCATGTCAGAGGATGAAGAGAGCACATCCAGTTAGTCACAGTCAGAGAAACCGGACTACACTGAAAAACAGGCCGATCTTCAACATCTATAAACAAATGTGTTGTTGGCAGCAGCACAGCTCCATGATGGTGTCTTTGCCAAACAGGAACAGACGGGGCAAAGCTACTACTAAATGATTTAGGGTGTTTCCAATTACTTTGTGCAGCGACTTTTTCTGCTTTTATCTGCATCATAACAAATGTTACACTAGCCTCAATTTAAACTAAAAAATAAAAATTAATTTAGCAAATCAGACACAAAACAAATAGAGCACCCATGCATGACCTCCACATTACCTCAAGGCATGGCTGCTAAATGCACTAATGAATCGTTAAAAGCAAGCAGTATCAGCCATTGCCAATACACTAAAAAAAACAAACCCTAAAATATGATCTGATCAATGTATCAATCTCATTGTCATCTGCTGCTGGCACCAAGTCCTTTTCAGGAATGACAGCTGCTCCACCTTTAACATGTGTTACAGAAATGAAGAAGAAGCTCTGGAAGAATGTTATGCTGCCTATAATTCTTGTTTTTGTTGTGAGTTAAGTGATTGGCAGAGATGTCAAAAGTACTCACTTTCCGTACTTGAGTAAAAGTACAGATACTTGTGTTAAAAAATACTCTGGTAAAAGTGGAAGTACTGATTAAACTTCTTTACTCAAGTAAAAGTAACAAAGTACAGGCTTGTAAATTTACTTAAAGTATAAAAGTAAAAGTAGAAACCACTTTTTTCATGCCATTGCCTACATTTTAAATGGATGTCTGCCAATAGGACTAGATCTCCGTTGTGTTCATTTTCAATCATCTCGTCGTCCATGCTACTATGCTAACGCCACCGCCACCAAGCTGCAATGATTTGACGCCAATGAATACCGCCGAATCTGTCGATTCATCTTGTAGTGGTGCGTCAAATGCAACGTAGATTCCCATCCAATTAGATTGAATTTGGTATTGATGACGTGAAAAATAATAACGGTAACTCCATTGAAATGATTCAAAACTAAAGTAACGAGCCAATTTTTTAAAATGTAAGGAGTAGAAAGTACAGATATTTGTGTAAAAATGTAAGAAGTAGAAGTAAAAAGTCGCCATAAAAATAATTAGTAAAGTAAAGTAAAAATATCAGAAAAATCTACCAAAAAACAATAACAAAGTATTTGCACTTCGTTGCTTCCCATCTCTGGTGATTGGTTGTGGGGAACTTAACCCTGGGAGGAAGTAAAAACCTCCAAAGGCGAAGCTAAAGCAACCGACTACACTTCTGACCCTAGGAAAGATCGTAAGCTGGTGCAGTGGGTCCTATTTTCCACTTGATCCACAAAAATTTTAAGTCTTAATAGCTGCGTGGTGAGAGGTCGAGATGGAAGAAATGAATGGCACTACTGTCTGTCCCACATGCTTGCCTGATTCAAAACCCAATCGATTACATTATTTTTCTGTACGTTGAACTGCCATGTTTGCCTTTAGACATCCTCTTGATAAGGAGATCACCCCCTCACTCCGCAAACTATTCCTGTTCTCATTAAGAGCATATCTAAACACCTGCAGGGATTCATAAAAACCCTTGTTGTGCATACCACTCAGTACATGGAATTGCTGCATTAACTCTTGGAAGAATTGGCCTGATGTGAACTAGCTTATCAGTGATTTGTGGCTTTTATCAATCCGGCCCTCTGTAGGTGGATTGTTTTCATTTTATTTGGCACCTTTACCCTGTAAACACATCACATAGTTAATGTAATTATAAATGCACCACTTGATTTTTTTTTCTTTATGAGATCCAATGGATTTTATTTATTTTATTTAATTTTTTGGTAGCAGTACAGCTGTTTTGTAATTAATTTTTTTTAGTTTTCTATTCTGCTTTATAACTGAAGCCTCAGATTTAGTCATGATTTGGAAAAGAAGGCTGAAATATGTGTCATCTCTTATTTATCTGGAAAAAAAGGTTTTCAGTGTTCAAATAAACAAATTTAAAAGCATTGTTATATGATCGACAAAACAAACTCTAAATATTTCTATCAAAACTTTTGATATATTTTTTTTTTATGCTCCAGGTTTTATTTTAAGCACTCAGCATCGGTTGCTTCAAATTAAGTAATTTTGTTCATCTAAATAGCAATTATAACAAACCAAATTAGGATTCGCTCTTAAATAACTCAGAAAATTCATTTTTAAACCTAAGGCTTGGTAATTTAATCTTCAGTAATGATGGGAAGGTGTGTGTGTGTGTGTAATCGAGATGAACCTCTGCGAGAGAGCACCTGATTTATCTTCCCGACCGCTGTGTGACGATGATCACCCCTAATGGTTGTCATTATAACAAATGACCTGATTACTGCAGCTCTGTTTGGAAAGCATACTGGAGACCCAACAAACCAGCATTAAATGGGACGCCGCTGCGTTTGACACTGTGACATGTACATAAAAGGCTTGTGTGAGTTTTCGCTGAGCAATTCCCTGAAGGAATAATTATGCATTTCCTCTTTATGATAAAAAGTGAAGAGCTGCTGCATTTAGCTAAGATTTATCTCATAGTTTTATGTTTAGCTGATCAATTCATGCATGTCCTTGAAACCCCATAACCCATATTAAAGTCCCTTTGAAATTTTCAATAAATTTAAGGTATTGCAATAAATACTTTAAAAAAAAACAAAACAAAAAAAAAACGACCTTTTGTGAAGACTATCAAAACAAAAAGATGGTGCTTCAATATATTTCAAATTATGTAACTTTGGCATTCCCAACCAATATATTTACTTTGTGAGTATTAATATTGGATTTTAATGTTATTCATTAAGACCCCTTCTAACTAAAACATTTTTGTTTTTTTTATAGAGGTGCTATGGTACACAAAGAACAACCTCCCTATAATTATTGGAAAAGCTCTATGGAAAACAAAAACTGAAAATAAATGCAGACTCTGATACCTCAAGATCAACCCCCCTCCCCCAGTTTACATTATTGGGATGAAATATATGTTCAATGTCAGTTAAGCGCCCCTGGTGGCTAAATAGTTATTTGCTTAGTCAAAAGAATGTCACAAGCTATTTTTGTTCTGCATCTTGATGTTATTGCATCTACTAAAGTATTTTAATGGGTTCATTTGAATAATGCCTGCATGCATTATAAGCTTTA